GGATTTCAAATTTTGGAGCTTTCATATATGAACCATGGTAGAGTTAATTTTTATTGGGATTTTATAGGAAATATGTATTTGCAAAGATTTAAAAAATTTTAAGAACCACACTTTCATGTGTCCTTAAATTTTAAGATTAAATTCCTTGAAAGCGGCAGGTTTAACAATCTACCTGTTCACGTATTGAAACAAATACGGTCCTGGAAAGGCAAGGGTGGCGAGTAATCTTGATTGACAGTTTTATGCTGGGTGCACGTTCCGAAGTGGTGGGAAATTTTACAGTTGCAATTCCCATAATTGGTGTAATTTGCAATTATCTTTCGTCGTACTTTAATGTTGAAATCTTAAATAGGAACCCCGTAGGTTACGCTCAAAGTAGTTTATGCACTAGTCACAGTTAATAAACAATGCACCGCGTGGTTCCTGGGCAGAATGTCACGAAAGTGGTTGGATTTAGAAAGATACAGATTTTTACATACTGGTTCAAAAAGTTTATTACATTTTCAAGAGCTTCTACTGAACATGCGGTTTTGCTCCTGTTAGATGGTCGCGGCAGCCATATAAAAAACTTGTACGTTATTAATTTGGGTCGTGAGTATGGAGTACATACATACGTTTGCGACCCCTAGACGTCAGATTTATGAAGCCACAATCTAGATACTACACTAGAGGCTAGTCAGAATTGATTAAGGAGTAATTCAGGCAGGGTTATTAGTACCCAATTTCAAATAGCAGAATTGGTTGGCAACGCATTTGCGAAAAGTGCTACCTTGACTACAGCCTTCAACGTGTTTAAAACGACAATCATATGACCACTAAATCGCGATATCTTCCCAGAAGCGGACTTTTTAGCAGCAACGACAACTGGAATTGAATATGGAGCTAAATCTGTTACAAATGCAACTTCTGAACTTAACGATCACTCAGAACTTCAACAAGTAAATGCTACAGATGAATCAAAGTCAACTTATTTAAATGTCAGTTCCATGTCTCGTAATGTTGCTCAACCTATAAACCTCAGCCGTCAACATAGGGTGTCATTTCCATCTCCAAACTTAGCATTGATAGTCCTACAGTCCTACTCACCAAGACGACAGTAGGCGTTCTTTTCTGATTAGTCCTGAAAACATAATGCCTTTTCCCGAGACTGAGAAAAAAACGAGGCCTTATGCAAAACGTGGGAAGACAGCAATATTGACATCATCAACATATCGCCGCGAACTAAAAATTTCATAAAATATTCAAGCAAAGCGAGTAAAAATGTACTCAATTTAGAAACAACTTCAACAAAAAAAGCGAAAAATAAGACGACTAAGAGTAAAACGAAGAAGGAGAAAATTTCATTTGAAGATGATGAGGATGACGTGACATGCCTTTATTGTTCTCACCTATTTTCTGAATTGCATGAAGAGTGGATTCAGAGTCTAATGTGTAAAATGGGGGCACATTGTAGCTGCGCTGGCACTGACGACAGCGATGATGAAGCGCCATACACATGTGAGAAATGTGTCTGAAGCATGAATATGTTGAAATTCAGTGTCTGGATTTCTGATGTCTTCCATTTTACCTAAGTATCACGGCAAAATGGATCAAAAAAGAAACATTAAATTTTATTTAATAATTTTTTTGTTTATGGTATGATTAAAATTTGATTAATACATGTTATTTCTATTTTATTTATTTATTTTTATTTTAACTTACGTTTGTTCTGTTATAAAATAACTTTAATAAACCGTCTAAATTTGTGTTAAATTTTTTTTTAAGTGTACCATTCTATCTTCCTTTCCCCTAGAGGTATATTCTGGCCAACGGGAATTAAATACGAAAAACTAAAACTGCTACTAACGGATAGCGCTACATACATGGTTAAATATGGCAAACATCTGACAATATTTTATCCCAATTTATTTCATGTAACATGTTTGGTTCACGCCTTAAGTTTAGTAGTTAAAGTTATCCAGAATCAATATGAAAATGTCAATTGTTTAATTTTCAACGTAAAGAAAGTATTGCTTAAAGCTCATTTGAGGATCCAAGACTTCCGGGAAGCCTTACGGATTTGACCATAGCCTCCATAACCTGTTCTGACAAGATGGATACGTGAATTGAAGCGGAAATATATGTGTGATTGCGGTCATTTTGATGATATAAAATGTATGTATGTAACTGACCGTAAGTCAGTCTGTGGATATAGTAGAGCAATTGTATAAATTATTGGGAGATACCCCTGGAAGATTAGCTGAAATGGCATTTAAAAAGCTGCAAGATACTTTACAAAAAAATACTGGATACCAAGAACTTAAACTTGTCAGCAAAGTATTACATGGCGAAAATGTAGAAAAAATTAAAAAATGAAACCCACTGAAGTATGTAATTTTAAATATTCTCCTTTAATAACACGTGATAGGTATAAAAATATCCTAACAGACATAAAGCAAAATTTTGTCTGCTGAAAATTTAGAAAAATATTTCATTTGTTATGCAAATTTTAACAAAGATTAGGATCGCTGATTATGTAAAATAATAAAATAAATTTAGATCTCAAAGAAAACCAGATGTTGCGCAAAATTTATTTTTTGAAGCGCATATTTTGCTATTTTTCGGACGTAAATCCGCGTACTTTAGGGACTGTTTTGGCTTTTTTTTAGCCATATATCCGCTCATTAATAATACGTACCTTAAGCTTGAGAAGTGTGTTGAATGGACGCGATAAATATGAAGCTTTAAAGAACTCAACTAAGAAGTTTCGAAGTCTGTGTGCATAAGGGAATTGTTAACAGACCGGCAGACGGATAGACTTATATACATATAATAAAATTCTCCATTTTTTATTTTGAAACGACTGTACGACTGTAATCACAAAGGCCATTCAAAAATTATATTGCTGCTCTTAATTATCGGTTGGAAAGTAGGACTCAAAATAATATCGACATTACATAAAAAAAATATGTTAAAGTCTGTAATGTAAGACAAAAAAAATCAAAAAGGGTCTTACTTTTTTATTTCTTTTGAGAAGATAATCTCATGACAAGCTTTTATGAGAAGTCACGTAAAAAGTCGCTATTAAAATTTCATCTCCTATGTACCGAACATCAAATCCCGAAGGCGATTTCCACTTCAACAACTTTTAAATTTCAGGCAACACCCAAGCTACCAAACCTCTTAATAAATCGTGCAAACAATCTCTTTCCGCCAAACAATAAATATTTACCTCTCGGCTCTTTCGAGTGTGGGAAATAATCTAAAACATGAGAAAATCGCCGTCAGGAATGCCTAAGAGCTCACGAAAAGATGCAGGGGAATCGAAGTGGCCCTAGGCACTCTCCGTTATGAATTTTAATCGGATTTTAGAACTCTGCTCCTAATAATTTCGTGATTAAACTACTCCTAGTCACGCCACTCTCATCTTCACCGGGAATTGCTGGGTCCGTCTTTGAGCGTAAAAAACAAAGAGGTGGATGGCTGGGGCACTTTTGTTTCATTATTGTTGTTGTTTTGTTTTATGTGAAGGGAAGTAAAGCACCTGCATGGGTATTCAGGCGTGCTACGTAAATTATCGATGAGAACGCACCTGATCTTTTATTATACGAAAAGACAGAGGCGGCGGAAACACCTTTGAGGATCGAAGTGTAAATAATTTATAAGTAGACGTGGAATAATTATTTAGATTTTTTATTTTGTTAACTTGGTACTGCATCACGATTGGCGCTCTTGTCTTTTCTTTGCCAAGTTTTAGCCTGAATAGAATCAATGATGGTAATTCGTAAAAGTAGAAGATGTAATATAGGTATATAAGCCAACGAATTAAATTTTTATTGCATATTTTGCAGTTGGTAGCTTTAATAACACGTTATCACAAATTTTTACGTATATTGTTTTATCTGGTAGCTGGAGACGCATTGTTGAGTATATAATAACAAGGTATGTACACAAGAATAGAGGGAGATGAAGTCTTTAAAAAGAAATCTGATATTTTTATAGTGGCGGAAGGATGTAGTTACTCGCTTCTAACGGATATTGTTTGTTCGTTCAAAAGTTTAGACCCAAGTACTCCGTTTTTTTATGAAACTAACATTCACAAGAATTAGACTTTCAACTTTTGTTTATGTAACCTGAGTAAAACTAGTCAGTAGATGATATATAATTCCTAAATTAAATCTTATACAGCGCGTTAAATAAAAGTAAGTCAAGTGGTTATGGAAAAGTTGCTAAAAGTGTCGTTGAATAAATTTGCAACTTAAAAACAATGACTATTAGGTAACAATTGTGATTGGTCGGTAATTTTTACTACTGCTGATCCTGACGTGGCTTGGAAAAATTTTCATAATATTGTAAATAGTATAACAACTGAAACAATTTTTTTTGAAGGTTAATCTGAAAAAGCCATGGATTAAACGTGAATTAATGGATTAAGATTAACAAAAGACTTTGGCACAAATTTAAAGCTACTAAACTGGAATCTGACTACAGAGAACATCGTAAATTTTCCAACAAACTGTCTTTTGAGTTTAAAAAAACAAAAACTTGTTAGCTGATTACTTTGAAAGTGTCTACCTTACTGAACCACCAGGTATACTACTAACATCTTATTATCATCAGGTATACTACCTGGGATTAATACACCTCGTCCCACAGAATGTGATCTTACAAGAGCAAAGTTTGCTAGGACTATGTTATTTTATACAATTTAAAACCTATTTACTATGCACAGTTTTGAAGTGACGTCATCACATTATTGGTGGGGATGATTAGACAAAGTTTAGTTAGCGTTTTACCATCCACATTCCTATTATTACGGACGGACAGATGGACAGACGGACACACGGACAGACAGACAGACGAACGGAAATGGGAGACCTATCTCTTCATATTCTAAGTGTCATGAAAGGTCGAGAGAACGTAAAAGTAGAGAGTCGGCCGACGGGCTCGATTACAATACTTCCTTCGCTTACGCTTGGGAAGTAATAAAGAATTATCTTACTACAGAATGATAATAATGCTGTGATTTTACAAAATTTTAATATACCTTCTCTTTACATACAAGTACAATAAACTAAAAATTAATCCGTTTTTCCCTCACACCCAGACTCTTCGGGCCAGTCACAAACTTGCAGGACAGGATTAAAGTAAAGTCCGACGGGGCAGTCCCAGACTACCGGCGTGCCATCGGTACAGTCGTAGAATTTCGTACAATCTTCATGTGGGAGATAATGAATTGGATTATCTTCATCCTGTGCTGGACAGATAGGATCTGTTTGCAACCAAAACTTTGGTTAATAAAAAGGTATAAACTAAGATTAAGATTAATTTACGTACCTGTTTGCGTAGAAATTGCGGCAAAGGCAGCAACGAAAATAAAGATTGCAGAAAACATTTTTTTATAGCTTTACTTGTATGTATCTAATTCTGACTCGACACTGGTACTATTAATGAAAATTTTGCGACTTATATATATAGCTATCGGCATATGGAAAATAACAGCAAAATTGCAAAACCTATCTCAAATTGAAAACATTATTCCATCGTTTTTTAATACCCTGCTTTTAAACATAATCGCAGGTATTTGTTTCATCTTGGTTGATAAATAATAATAGTAATTGAGTTTGTAATCCTAACTAAAAAATTAAACAGTAAATGATATATTATTTGTTAGCAACTGCTATTACTACTAGATCACAAATACAAGAAAGTTGACAGCGTAACTCAAAATAGATTCTTAAGTGGGAAAAGACTGATATCATGTCAAGTTAACGCATGGTCAATGTAGGGAAAAAAGCATTTTTCAGTTGAATATTTCGCAAATAGAAGAGTACTTAACAGGGAATTAGTCATTTCTAAAAGAAAAATTGCCAAAACTTATATTCATACTTATTTGATGAAGTAGTTATATAATTTTGAACCCTCTTTTGTTAAATGTAAACGCGAATTTTTTTTCGAATTTTTTTATATGGAATCAACAAATATTTGTTGTCAACTTGTCGTTCAATGTTTAGTTGTTTTTGTCATTTCGAGACCAATACACAGAAGAAAATAAATAAGAAAGACAGTTTGATTGGTGCTTATTACGCTCATTATTTCTGTACTTAATCGAAATTGTTAAGCTCCGTGTCAGTGTGGCTTTCCCGGAAAAAATGTTTAAAAGACATCGAAAATACACAAAATCCAATTAAATGGTATGATCAAGAATTAAACTATATCAGAAAAAAATTTACCTTCCACGTGCGAATATCCAAGGTTATGTAAACCGAACTTCCGCCGTCCTTGAAGTACAGTCGAGCAAATAGAACTTCTCTAAAAATTTTAAAATACAATTTTGCGAAATTTATTTTTTTATGATAACATCATCATAAGTTAAGATTAAGGATATATGTGGACTGTAAAAGTAAAAATAAAGAAGCATGTAAAGGTGGAGCAACGTTCTATGATTTCTAATCTCACTTGTTTCATAGTATATCGGTGATATCGATATCCTTGAAGATGAATTGTTTACATGGATTTTTCCAGCGACCTACAAGCAAGTCAAAAACATCCACTATTCCTCAGGCATCCAGCTTGAGTCTGCTGTTATTTTTACCTTTTATCATATATAATAATATTGTTAACATTACTGATAGTGAAAGAACAATCAGAACAATGTCAATAAAATATATGCACGGTGTGAGGCAAATAAACTCCCTCTGAATTATGCTAAATACACAGGCTTATTATTTTTATATATAGTCGGCCAACAGGTAACCAACAAATAACCGAAAGCAAATGGTACAAATTACTGCGAATCCCAAATAGGAAAAGTTGAAAGCTACTCCAAATCCCAATGCAGATTTTCAGATTAGATATTTCAAAATATATGTGTAATCAATAAATCATAGAAGATCAGATAATCCTGATAATAATTTAAATTACGAAGTAATGTGAAAGCCTACTAAATTTGGGACTAATTAAAGAATTTAAAGAGCTTACAGTGATGTTGAAAAAAGATCAATCTTATTATGTGTTCTATTTCCGATCCTACACATAGTGGACATAGAAAAGAATTTGGCGATATCAGTTCTCGGGCAAGCTATGTAGAAAATTTCAGAGTGGCGAGATACTAGACTTCGAGGATGTGCATTAAACGATAATTTGGCTAGCATTAAAGGACAGTCAACACTGTTATTTATCATTTTAACTAGGAACAACACAAAGAACTTTTTACAAGTTTCCGTAAAACTGGAAAAAGTGAAGCGATTTAAAAGCTCAGATTGAGGAAAACCAATAGGTGGGTAAAAACCGTTCTCTCGGTAAAACAAATATTTAAGAAACCTTCCTATGACACGTTCCAGATGCATTAAATGAATGTTATGGTGAGGACACCAAATTATGCAAGCATAGTAAAGTTTGCTGCTAATTAATGAATTAAAAAGTCGAATGATAGTGTCACAGTATTGAAAATCTCCTTATGATGAAACCGAAAGTTTTCATGCAGTCTGCCACAACTTTGTTAATATGAAAAGCAAATGAGAGCCTACTATCAAAAACAACCCCAAGATCCAAAACGGTCTGAGGCCTGGCTAAGCCTACCCCATTAAGGACGTATTTAAAGTGAATACTAAATCGCTTTAAAGAAAATGACATTACATAATATTGTTTTTGATTTAACAAAAGCCTGTGCAAATTGCACCATACCACAATCCTATTTAAATTATGTTGTAACTTAAGGCAGTCATCAGTTGAGCTTATTCTATTGTATATCTTGATGTCATCTGCATATAAAGAAAATTCAACATCTAATTCAATCGAGATATCATTGATGACCAATAAAAAAAGAAGCGGACCAAGTGGCACTCCTGATAAAACAGTAATGACATCAGAATCTTATCCACAGCAATGGACATATTGTTTTCTGTCACGTAAATACGACCCAAAAAACCTAATTAATTGCATATTCAAGCCCAAAGCATAAAGTTTATCAATTAATATACCATGATCTAGTTTGTCAAAAGCCTTTGAAAAATCAAGATATATTACATCGGTCTGTAATCCACAATCGATAGAGTCTGCGATAAATTGTGTCACACAAAGAAGATTTGTAACTGTAGAGAGATTTTGGATAGCTTCCAACAATCTGGAAATGTGCCTGAGTTAACACATAGATTAAAAAGAACAGATAACGGGTTAATTAAAACCCGAGCACAATCTTTTATGATAAATGCTGGTATACCGGCAGGACCCTGAACATTGTTTGATTTAATTCTATTGATAGCTTCAAGCACTTCATTTTCACTAATGATAGACACATTTATGTTCACATTTGTATTGTCATATTTAACTTTGTTATGGTTACAGCTAGAACTAGGGATATAGGTTGATTCATAAAATTGTGCAAACGCATTAGCAATATTTTTTGCTCCTGTTACAACAGTATCACCAAGATTCACACAAGATGGTATGCCGGTGTGTCGTCTTTTGCGTCGTATATAACCCCAAAAAGTTGACGGATCTGTGTTAATCATGTCTTCAGAATACTTGACAAATGCGTTATAAGCTATTGATATTTCTCGCTTAATGCTACGTATCAATTCCTTGAATGCAAACGCATCAGCTGTATTTCTGTACTTTAAATATCTCCTTCTAAGCTGATTTTTTTAACGAACCTGCCGAATAATTTCAGGTATAAAGCATACCGGATAGGTATATTGGCTTTTTTTTATACGTATTTATGTGTTTATCGATTATATTAGAACATAAAATAAGCAACAGGCAGAATTAATATCAGTAGATTTATTAAGGACCGACCAGTCAGTATTTAGAATATATCCTCATACAGATTAACAAAATTGGCCTTACGAAAATTTTAACTGGTTCCATTAGACGCTGCTTTCAAAAAATTGCGTGATGATATATTATTCACAAATATACCTACATGGAGAGAAGGATGACGTGGATCTTCGTTTACAAATAGATCATCAGAAGTTAATACTGAACAGCACATGTTGGATAAGACGAGGTCAAGAAGCCGATTATCACAATTTAAAATGGTATTAAATTGTTTCAGTTCAAACGCCTCAAAGATTAATTGATAGTAAGCAGTAAGTGTTTATTTTTTACCCTACGGGCTTAAAAAGATTCTTGACACTACAATTTTTATCCCTAGCTAACAAAAAACCAAATAAATACATTTTATAAACTAAATAACTAATTTTTCTTTCCTTTACCCCATCCCCCCTTGCCCCAGCCTTACTCTTGTTCTCTCCACTTCTTTCATCCATTCCACCCCTCTTCCTTCTTCATTCAATATCTCTGTCACACTCTCCTCTCTTTCTTTGCTCTCCTCACAGTCGTGCAGCATGTGCTCTATCGTCTCTCGCCTTTCTCCACACATCCTACACATTCTCTCACCTTCGCTTACCCAAAACTTATTATTTATTTCTTCATTTCCACACCTAAATCTCGCAATTATTTTTTTTTTCTTTCGCGCTTTCTCTGTCTAGGCACTTTGGTATTGTTTCTGTTATTATCTTTCTATAGTCTGCATTGCACCTAGAATTACTTACACTCGCTCTTCTCTCTTGTTTATCTATGTCTCTGTCACGCATACACAACTCTCCTCTCATACTCAACTCACCCCCATTTATCTCTTTCTCTCTATTTCCATCCATGCGTATCCCAGTCTTTCATAATATCCTTGTCTACCCTTGTGATGTTCCTTCCCTGCTTCCTTTTTTTTTCCTTCCAGTATTCATACAATATCCTACATTCCTCTCTTTCTTTCAACCTTTCATCATACTTTACAGCTCTTTTCCCAGTGTATACTCTTAGTTTCTCTCGTTTACATTCTTCTCTTACTATATAGCCTGGCGTCTCTTTCCGTAGCCCTAACATCCACCTCAAATATTTTTCTTGTACTGCTTCCATCCCTGCATATTCCTTCCATCCCCATATCTCCACTCCATACACTAATACACTCCTAACTAAACTATCAAACATTTTCATCCTTCTTCTTACGTCATGTCCAAATATTCTCTCACCTATACTCCACACCATTCCCATTATCTGCATTGCTTTGACCCTTCTTTCTCTTATGTGTGCTTTTACCGTGTTAGTTGTTGTAAACTTAAATCCTAAATATTTAAACTCCTTTACTGTGTCTATGATTCGATATTCCCAATGCCACACTTTTTTCTCCCCTTTTTCATCTCATTCATTCCACATTCATCCTTCGCCAATATTACCAAATCTTCTGCAAATGCCAAACACCATACCTTTTCTCTCCCCACCACAATTCCTCCCGCTTGTACTCCTCTAAACATTTCCTCGATATCGCTTATGTTACAAGCAAACAGACTGGGACTTAATGGGCATCCCTGTCTCAATCCTTTCGTCGTCCAAAACATTTCGCTTTCTATTCCTCGCACTCTCACACTAGTCACTC